TTAAAAAACAAAAATCAAAACCCTAACCACAATAAAATGATTTAAAATCCAAATTCCACCTTGCGTGGGATAACGCTCCAGTGTTGGCTTTGACCGCACACGCAGATCCCCGGTTCGCTGAAAGGAGAGCAGCCGCTAATGTCTGAGCATCATCTGTCGCCGAGCTATCAGCCATGACTTCTCTCTCCAAGAGCACTTTCCTTCTAACTCCGCATTTGGATTTGATGTGTAGATCTGGCTTCTCAAGGAAATGGAACTCCCATCGGTGACTGTGGGACAAGTTAAGAAAACCAATTCTGAGCAGTGTCCTTCTACCAACGACCTCCTCCTCTGTCCTTGTCCACGGAACCGAGCTGTCTTCTGTGCGAGTCTGACTCTGCAGTGGCCCATGTCTTCTGCGTGGCTGCGTGCTAAATGAGTTTACGCTGAGGCTGGGTCACCCTGGGCATCTGGACTCTCGGTTCATCAATAAGAACTCCTCTTCTATTCGCTTTCCAGAACACCTGATCTGGCATTCGCTTCTTTGTGCCAAAGCATGGGTGTCATTTCCTGGAAAGCCCCTGACCTCCTGGGGTATCAGATCATGTATTAATCTACAACGATGGTCTGAGCTTTGCAACGGAAATCAGACGCTGTTTTGCGAGCGATCTTTATTACTGAAACTGTGAAAGCAAGGAAAATGCATTTCATGCATGCATCGAATAGGCATCCAATTTCTTACCCATTCTCTCCTACCAATCGAATGGAAAGGACTGGAAAAGTGGGGGCTTTTAGGATCCTTTTGTAGTTGTTGCTAAGTTCCCTCCAGTTTTATTTTAAATCTCTCCACTTTCAAGGGGAAAAAATTCCATTCTTCTTCCTACTTGGGGTACTCTTTATGTGGCGTGAAAACATTCTACGTCTTTTGTTAGATTGGTGCCACCAAGGGCTTGTGCTGGAGCCTTTCAGAGAAAACGTTTCTGGATTCGATTCCCTGGCTTGGCAAATCCAACAGCTGAACGCTTCAACTTTCTGCTCAGGTCTGTATCTTTCATCGCTGGGATATGGATTAGATTTGCTCCTTCCCTCCATTTGCCTAGATTTCCAGCTGAGTTTAAACATCTCTCCCCCCATGGTAGGATGCGTTGACCTTTTGGCTTGATTAAAGATAAATGCCATTGACTCTCTCCACTTGTATGAACATGATTCAAAAGCTCACTGAGATGCATTTATTTGCTGCTTAGAAATGAACACTGAGTGGTATTTATTGGCTGACAGTCTGAGGAGATGGGTGGGGTTCTTGAACTTTCAGCATCAGGAGACATGATTAGGGCTGGAGGTATCCCATGTCACTTTGTAGTGGCCGGTGAAGCACATGAGTTCCTTTTGCCCACATCCTTGGTAGCATCGCATCCTAAATTTGGGGATTCATTGGAAAGTGAGATAATTTGATAGAATCGGATGGTGATGGACATTTCAAGGCAGCCTCCAAGGCGAATGGGCTGCGGGCACAGCTGGTTTCCCATGTCGGTGTCTGACACGACCTGGATGTGGTCATGGACAAGTGAGCCGTGTGGGCATTGGTCATTCATTCTCCCACTTATCTTGTTCCTAATCAGAGAAACTTAGCAAAGAGCAAAAAAAAAAAAAAAAATTTTCAGAAGAACCTTATAGGAAATGATTTAAATATCCTGCATTTACAACAGTTCTGCCTATGAAGTCAAGCTCCACTACACTGGGGTTTTTTTTTGGATGTTGTTTACTTCTTTCATTCTTCCTGAAGCATTTGCACATAGAATAAAAAGGGTAAATACACACATACACTCACACACATGTGAAAACAATAAAATCTATATATTTTTCTTTCCTTATAAGAACATCTGCTTTTACTATAAAACGCCCAAAACAAAAAAAACCCTCCCCCAAACCAAATTCACTGCCATTGAGTAGATTCTGACTCTTAGAGACCCTATAGCTCAGGGTAGACCTGTCCCCACTGTGTGTTTCCGAGACTCCAACCCTTTGCCTCAGCTCTCTCCAGTGGAGCTCCTGGTGGTTTCAAATTGCCTGGCCCATAACCACTATGCCACTAGGGCTCCTTGCTACCAAGTACCCTCCAAAGGTGGTCTCCTTTCTCTCAGTGTGCCCCCCCCCCCACTATATTATTGTGTAAACACCCTTTTTATCAGTCTCAGACCTGCATAGAAAGAGATCTCTAAAAGTATCCTCCCTGCCATCAGTCAACTGCACCTCACAGCAGCCCCGTAGGCCAGGGGGAAACGGCCGTGTGGCTTCCAAGACTGTGCATCTCTACAGGAAGAGAACGCCTCATCTTTCTCCCGAGGAGCAGCTCGGCATTTTGAACTGCTGACCTTCGAGTTAGCAGCCTGGCCTGGAACCCACGATGCCACCAGGGCTTCTGCGCAGAAAGAGATAATGATCAAACAGGGCTGGAAAGTGCTGATAAGATTTGTACATTGTAAATAGAAAAGACATGTACATTGTACATCTGTAAGACAGCCATGCTCACAAAAGTAAGGTGGGAGAGAATGAATATACAATGTTCTACCATGAAACGATTGGTTCACAAGATTCATTGATTGCATGACATTATGATCCAATGTAGGGCACTCACAAAATGTAGGACACCGAATATTCAGATGTCTTGTGACATTGCACAGATTGGGGGTATATTCTAACAACAACAACAACAGCAAAATTATTTGCTATATATTTTGACAATTCATTTCTTATTTTCAAGAGAAAATTTCTCTAAACTTGAACTGCCACCACAACAAACACACTAGGAATACTGATGACCTAAAATTTTAAGAAGTGCAGATTAAAATTCAACCAATGAACTTATTGCCAAGAAGAATCCATTGCAAATCATGTGTGTGTCAGAATACACCTGTGCTCCTTAGGGTGTTCATGGGCCTGGCTTTGGGAGGTAGCTAGTCACGTTTCCTTCCCAGGGACCTCTGGGTAGACTCAAACCATCAACCTTTCAGTTAGCAGCTAAACTCATTAACTTGACCATTAGCTCCAGACAGGATCAGACTCTATCAAGGGAACTTGGTTTGTTTCTGAATCTAAAATGATTTAAAAGATCCCTTTCCTTGTGGAACTCCCTCTTCCCTGCCTCCCTCCCCCCACCCAATTATTATAGACAACCCTTCAAAAAAGTTTGTCGAAAATGGAATTGAAAGGAAATGGAGTTTTTCCACATCAATGTTGAAGCCCTCTGAACAATAGCGTCAGTCCTGAGGAGAGGAGGGGGGCCAGAGTATCAGATGAAAGTGAGATCATACAGTTTTCGAAATCACTGAGACACAGTGTGTTAAACTTAACTCATGGTTTCCCAAGAAACACAGACCTATGTGACTGCCATTGAGTCACTTGCGGCTCGTAGCAACCCCATAGGACAGGGGAGACTGCCCCTGTGGGTTTCTGAGGCTGCCAAGCTTTATGGTTGCAGAAAACCTCCTCTTTCTCTGGAAGAGCAGCTGGTGGATTCAAACCGCTGACCTTGTGGTGAGCAGCCCAACACAACTCGCTATGCTACTAGGGCTCCTACAGATCTGGGCAAACCCCCTAAGAGACTCCTTGCCGTAGGGTGGAGGCCAACTCCTGGTGCTGGATTGGACGACCATCAGCGTGGCCCCACCAGCTGCTCTGCAGGAGAAAGGACCTTTGCAACAACATCCTTAAAGATGTACAGCCTCCAACTCCCAGGTGGAGCTCTGCTCTGCCCTGGAGAGTCTGTGTGAGATGAGAGACATAAGCAGTCATCAGTCACTCAACAAGCACTAGTCCATTAGGTCCCAGCCTTTGTGCTTGAGACCAGCATCTGGTCTTCTGGAATGTTTCAGATGTAAAATACCCATGGGTCGGGGTGGGGGAGGGGTGGGTGGGTAGGGGGTAGGGGTTCTGTCCACTTACAAAGCTCCTCAATCTTGCTCAAGTTGTTTTCGTGATCGGCTTTGCCACATGTCAGGTGACTGACCCAGAAAGCTTTCATCAGCACCTTCGTTTAGAGAGGCTTCAGTTATCCATCCGGAGAGGGAGGTTGCTCAGCTCTCTGCTTCGAAACCATCTTCTTTGAACTTCTCGATGTACACAGCAGTTCAGGGATGATGCCTTACAAGCACTCTTGGTACTAGGACGTTTCTTTTTCTTGTCTTCCTAACTAGATTTCCTTGCTCTGATCAGCTGTTTCCCCCTAATACAACTGTGCTCTTCTGCCCCATGCTTTGCAGGGTGAACTTGAACATCGTCTTGAGCACCTAAAGTGTGGGTGCCCGGAAACAGCGATGTTTCTTTTCATTCAGGGGCACCTTTCTATAAAAGAGCCTTTGGATCTTAAGAGGTTCCGTTTGGAATTTGACATTCTTCCCTTTTCTGGACCTGGATCTTTTGGGGGTCCTCCATATTCCCTTCAGGAGCATGATTGATATTGGGGCTTACACCGTGCCCTTCTCAGTGTTGTGGCGATGACTTGTGGTTTCGGTGGTCGTGGTTGATCCGGCCATGGGTTGATGGAAGTGCCATCACAATGAGAGAGCCTACGGTGCTGAGGTCTGTTGTCCTCGGAGTGGTGGACCCTCTCTAAAAGCCACACTGGTGTATGATGCCTAGACGACCAAGCGATTCTCAGAAACCTAGGATGCATTTCCTGTGTTTCTAAGAAATTCATCAGCATAGGAAGTCTTTGGGAAATGAAGTAAAAACTGACTTCTGTTGCTCACGTAGGGCCTTTGGGACATAAAAACCTCGTAACCCTCGACAAAAGGAGGGCACTGCTTTCTTTGATGATTTTGTCTGCAATGGTTTCAGGGAGTCTTCTGGGGAAACTATTGTGTTGGATTAGTGATACCAGGAGGAGCTTTGGGGTGGTGATGATGGTAATGGGTCATTGGGTGCTACTAGGTCATGTGCACCAGTGTGGCTTTAGCAACCCTAAAGCCAAGAGCACGGCTTCTGCAATGGATGCTAACTGTGGCACTTACCACCATCCTCAGGCAAAGGACCCGAGACCCTGTATGCAGGGCAGAAGGTCAATGACAACGAGTGGCACACCGTCCGGGTGGTGCGGAGAGGGAAGAGCCTTAAGTTAACCGTGGACGACGATGTAGCTGAGGGTAAGTACCACGGTGGCCACATCCTCCTCCCCGAGCCCCCTGCTGTTTTCAATGAGGAAAAGGTTTGGTTTGTTTTGCTTTCCCCGAACTTTGCTTTGTTGAAGGGAGCTCCCCGGTCCTATCCTCTGTTGACACACTCAAGCAATGGGAAGAGGGTCTTCCTCTGCACTTCCATGACTCCTTTTCAGAGCATCATATCACTTACCCATCACGCAAATGCAGCGTTCCTGGATTCTGGAGAGCGAGAGAGGAGAATCTCGCATACATAGTGTAACCTGCTTTACACGCCTCTGATTGGTTCCACTTTCCTGGCAAGCTAAGTGTTCATGTTGGCATTTTGGAGAAGAGGGCATGACCCTGAGAGGTGCTGGTGAGTCATAGTTCCACTTCCATGTTTGTGTGACTCCAAAGGCCCAAAGTATTCCACCAAATGGAACTGTGTTCTGAACATCACCCTCCATCATAAGAAGATCACTTACCTTACTCAAACCAACCAAGCACACCTCAACCTCACTGCCGTGCAGTAGACGCCGCTTCAGAGCCATCCGATAGGACGATGCCGCACAGGCCCCAGGGGCTTCTGAGATGGTAACTCTGGACAGGGGTGAAATGCCTCGTTTGCCACCCACGGAGCAGCTGGTGGATCCATGTAACCCACTAAGCCAAGAGGGATCCTTTTACCTTAGAAGAAAAGTAAAATTAAATTGTTCTCTGGGGGAAGGGGGATCTATTTCAATAGGTGATCTACAATGTGCACCCCTTCACACATACACACCAGGACAAACAGAACCCCCAAGCCCCCAACTCTTGTATTTGTCTGCGGGCATTGCGTAATGTCCGAACAGGAACTTAGCTCGATGGAGTGAAGGTAAGCCGAGTAATGCAAATATAGGTCTAAGATCTAGGACAGCAGTTCTCAACCTGTGGGTCGTGACCCCTTTGGGGGGCGTCGAAAGACCCTTATATAGGACTTGCCCTATTCATAACAGTAGTGACACAACAGTTATGAAGTAGCAACGAAAATAATTTTATGGTTGGGGGTCACCAGCACATGAGGAACTGTATTGAAGGGTCATGGCATTAGGAAGGCTGAGAACCACTGACGTGGGACCACCTGAAGTAAAGGTCTGAGCACGGTTACTGCAGAGGAGCCCATGTACACTGATGCCTCTGGGCTCTGCACGGTTTACAGGCCAGGGTGAGGTTATGGGCAGCATGTTCTGCACAGGTGCCACCAGATGGCGACCTCACTCCATTGCCTGCTGCCAGGAGCCCCTTCCAGAGCGTGACCGACAGCCCTGGGCATGCCATCCTGTGCAGTTTCTCCCTCCTTTATCCAACCGTGGACTCAGAGTAATTATAAATTAGGCTTTCTGTTACCACTAGTAATTAAAAAAGCGGGGCTAAACCATGGAATTCCCAAGTCACCCAGTAATTTGGTATTTGAAATTAATGAAGCACTTTCATTTTTAGCCTGGCCCCCTACCTTGCTGCTGATGGAAGCGGGCAGTCTTAAGGATCAAGACATTTGGGAGAAGAAAAGAGCTATTTTGCTTATGAGCTACCACCATGGATTGCTTTTTGCAGTGATAAAGGACTGGGGAGTTTTAATTTTAGTTCACAGAAGTCATAAAATCAAGCAATGAAACTAAAATAACACACAGCCTCCAGGTTACTAAATAGTGTCTCATTGGCTTATAGTAATCCTTGTCATGCTGTTTAAGGCCCCCCAGGGAGCGACATTTTCAGCTCCGTTATAGAAATGATATAAAGAACAGGTCAGAGTTCCAAGAAATCTAAAGCAATGAAAGAAATATTTCTTTACCTGGTGGGTTTCATTTATTATAGCATAATTGTATTCCTGGAAAAGTAGTAAGTTCAGTTGGCAGTTAATAGAGTTGATTGATTGATGGAGCTGGCTTTTCTGTTATCAAGGCTTAATGAAAGCATGCCTCCCTTGGGCTAGGCTTCTCAAAATCTGGACTCACTGTTCCACGGGCCACCCACTCCACCCAGGATTTCTTCCCAGCACTCAAAAGCACACCCCTCTTTTGACAATCTCAGCTCCTATTGACTTCTTCTCACCTGAAAACACAGTGCAGGCAGCCTCTGGTTGCAAAATGTGACTTTCCAAAGTTTTCCCTAGAAAACTCATTCCTTGGGGTAATTAAAAAGCCTGCTAAAATAGCTTTGGGACACGTTCAGTTCCCTAAGGGGAACCCTGGTGGTATAGTGGTTAAGTACTTGATGGCGAGACAAAAGGTCCCTGGTTCAAAGCCACCAGAAACTCAAATAGAGATAAAGGGGGTGGGGGTGGAAAAAGACAACACCCATGATTTGCTCCTGTAAGTTCAGCCTAGGAAACTTGATAAGGGAGCTCTACTCTGTCCCATAGGGTCCCTACAAGCTAGCATGCTCTCAATGGCACGCAACAGATTTTATAAAATGAACTTGACTCCTTCATTGCAAGACTTAGTAGGAGTCTGATTATGCTAATAATCATGGAAGGTCACATTCCTTCCCGGCCCTGGCTAAGCCTGTCCTATTATTTCTTAGCAGAGCTCAGAGTGTTCTCCTGAGCCTCATGCACAGAAATGACAAGGACTTAATTAATCTCTGGTCCCCAAAGCAAATATCTCAAGGACACTCCCTCCTCAGCCCTTAGAGAGGCCTACCCTCTTTCGGTCCCTCTGCTGATCACTGTGGACCTTACAAAAGAGGGCACACATAGCCCCTCCTTAAAAGAATCTGCCGTCTAACCAGGGAGAGACAAATGAATCAGGAAATACACAAAATGATAGGAGCATTCCAGAGAAATAAAAAGACTGGAGGCCGCATGATTAGTCATAGCTAGGGGCGTTGGAGCACGGGGCACTTTGCTAAACACATTTGATACTTTCATTCCAATTTGAGAGATGAGACACTGGTGTAGAAAAAAAAAGGATGATAGATAACCCTCCCACCCAAGGGAACCCACTTAAGAAGCAGGGGTGTTGGAATGCAACGCAGGGGACCCCCACATTCTGATCCACGGTTCCTGATTGTCTACAGCAGTGGTTCTCAACCTTCCTAATGTCGCAACCCTTTAATACAGTTCCTCATGTTGTGTGGACCCCATATGTGGGCGTATCTGCACGTGGGCGGACCCTCCTGGAGACGGACAGAGGAGCGGTGTCTCGGTTCCTAAGACCATCAGAAGTATGGTCTTAGGCGACCCCTGTGAAAGGGTCGTTCTACCCCCAAAGGGGTCGCAACCCACAAGTTGAGAAGCCCTGGTCTCCAGGAAATGTACGGCTTGAGTTTGGCCCAAAGGATCTGTCCCGTCTGTCCTCCGTAAGGCTCCTCAATTTGCAGGCTGGCCCATCAGCTGCTGGTCAACCCTCCGTGCACTATGAACGTGAGCATTGACCACGGGACTACTGAACACCGTGCTGTGAATTCAGTGGGGTGCCCAGGATGGGAAGACAGTGGGAACCCATCCCAGCACTTCCCTTCCTTCTCGGGGCATCATGTGAGGGGCAAGTCATGCTTGTTCTCCAAGACACTCTCGTGCACATGTTAAGGGATGGGCCTAGGTTCTTGTTGGGCATCTGCCATTTGTCACCTCTGAGAACCTGGATCCTGTTGCTTGCCTTCTCTGAGAGCCTTCACTTCTCAAGCTAGAGCAAGAGTCCTGTCTTCGGGTTTATTGTGATAATGAGGACTCAGCACACTTGGCTTTCCCTCGCCAGCTTTCTCCTGGGATGGGCCTCTTTCTTCCCCAATAGAAAAGCAGTTGCTATGAATATACTTATATATTCATATGTCATGAATAAATTCCTTTCATGGCAAGGAATTTGAAGCTAATGACCAGCATTCAGGGGGATGAGTAAAAACATCCCAATGACTAATGTTGATTAACTGACACTCATTTTTCGGTTGATTGTTTTTTTAATTTTGTTTTTCAATATATTTTTTGAAAGTCTGTTATAGGTTTTTAGTTTTAACTAACTTAGTGCATGCTGTTCCTGGATTCTTTTACAGTACAGAAGTATCATGCAAAACAAAACCAAAAAAAGTATCATGCAGTACTTCTTTTAGAAATGTCATGGATTTCATTAATACGAGGCGAAGATCATTTGTATTCTATTTGGCTTTGCCTCTTCCTTTCCCCAAGCCCTCTCCAGATCACTCAGACGCACTTCAAACCCCAATCCAGCCTGTGGGTTCCTTGGCTCAATGTTCAAATCCAGTCCTGAGCTGCTCTCTCTCACCAAGTCCAGTCTAATTCTATTCCCTGTTGAAGGTTTACAGTTCCACCCTAGATATACTGGATCATAATTTACTTTTTCATAAACTGAAGGTGATTTTTTAATAGATTGTGCTAAAATGTAGGTTTTGATGCCATACAGCTGGAGTGGAAATGCAAATTCTCAGCACAGGATCAAACCAGAAGGAACTGGTTGGAATGAACCCACTGGAAGACTTGATTATTGATGTCTTACTGCCCCCCTCCCCCAGATGTTTGCTTTTTAAAATTCATTCTTGTGAGGATGCTGCCCGAACACCTTAATTGTAAAGGTTTTTAATCACAATTTCTCTGAACTCATAAAAACACAGTTCTCTAAAACGTTACTTAAAAATAATCTAACCTAAATCTTTAGATGCATTTTGATACCTCAGGTTTACCAGGAACCACCCCATTCTTACTTCTTGATTCTCATGACTGATTACTACTATTGTTTTGTTTTTACAGTAAGAGCTTCATGTTTACAAGCTACACTATAGCTCAACTTCTCTGCCCCCTTAGAGTGGCCATAACATACCCTTCCCACCATTCCCCAGCCCAGGCCCGATCCCCACTATTAGCCACCATAGACAAATGGAAATTGGGTATTTGTTCCAGGAACATCGCTCTTTAACGCATGCGTCTTGGGTTATGCTACTTCTCATTTCCATGGCCAGTCTAATTTTCAACACTAAGTAATTTTATGTAGTTATATAATAATATTTTCCAAGTGATTCAACTGTTAGCAGATGTATGTCGCATGCTGATTTGAGTTCTGCTGCGGTTTTATGTTTAAGTTAACCAACACTATTATTTTATTTTGCTTATATTAAGAGAATGATTTGTCCTTATTTGTCAAAACACCAGGCAGAAGCTCATAAAATATAGATCTAATGTTTGTGCTTATGAGTGATTCTTTGAATGAAGACTGAGTTTAGCCCTTTATAAAGTAAAAATAATGCTGGGTATCCCAGAGCCTTGAGTTGACATTGAAGCTTAATGAAATACCCCACCCTTGTTTTGGTGTCCAAGTTCTAAGCCAATTGAGAGGAACAAATGCAAGGCAGATGAAAATTACATAGTATATTGAGTAGTGATAGCGCTCATATAGATATTTTAAAGTGACTAGCATCTACCGAACTTCAGATATACAGAGCACAGCCCACCCAGTCTCACTCGGAATTTGGTAGACACCCTTCACCAAAGCAGGGCTTGTGTCTGTACCCCTAAGCCCTGGACTAGTACTGGAGAGGCAGCGTTTCCTGCATGTAAGCACCATCATTCCGAGAGGAACAGGAAGCCCCAGGAGCTGACCCATATTGCGTTGTGTTGTTTCCTTTGAGCAGATCATCTAAATCATTCCGATCATGCTGCTTGTTTTCTGCTGCAAAGCTTCAAGAGAAGGACCTGGAAAGATGTCAGACACGTCTCGCTTGGGAAATTCCCTTCCTATGGAAGGAGCTAAATAGCAGGGATGTTAGGAAGGTAGAGTTTCTTTCCCCTCTGTGTAACATTAGGACATCGTGTGTTAAAGTTCAATATGGTTCGAAGACACGGATGTGGAAGGAAGGAGCCCACACCAGCCATGCAGAGACAGTTTACGTTGATTTCCTGATTATAATGTCCAGTTGACTTGCCTTCCTTCGTAAGACTGCCTCTCCCCCTTGCTCCCTGACCACTTCAGATAAACCAGGTCCCAGAAAGTCTCCTGCCCCTTGTGTCCTTTGGAGATCGTTCAGAAGCCAGTGTCAGAAACCCACCTAAATACTTTTAGCACAAAATGGAATGCGCTGCCTGTATGTTTTAAAATCTAAGTAGGCTGACTGCATCCAGATTCCCACACTAGACATCATCATAGAGAAACCATTTCTCACCAATTCTTGATTGCCTTGGGTTGGCATTCCCAACTGCAGGCTCAATCCCCCGGGTTACAGAGTGACCCCCCCAAACAGCACAGGGCTTTCTTCCTATGCCTGCAGTCAGCCTGGCTTGAGCATTTCTGCAACCTCTTTGCAGCTGACTAGTCCTGCCTCAGTTTGGGCTGGGTGCTAATCCCATAGTTCACGCGGTGCATCCCTGAGATCAGCAGTTTACACTTTCCCTGGGAACTGGATAGAAAGGCACTCTCTGGGGCTCCAGAATCTACGGGCATGTCAGCGCTGTGCCAGCTGTTTCTTGCAAGCTCTCCAGGCAAGTCTGATGGAAGCAAGAGTTTGTTTTCATCCTTAACCAATTTCTTTGTTCGCTTGGAAGATAAAATATACTTTCCCCTGTGCACTTTACCAAAGGGCAGTGGCTGGGAGAGGGTCAGTCTCATCCACCCAAGCTGTTTTAAAGGTGTAGGACATGGGGATAGGTATTTTATCCTAACAGGCAGCCATTGCTCGGCAGGTAAAATCAATAGCCATTTCACCATGGCACTTGTCCCACAAGTAGTAGACGATGAGTTATTGCAGCCTTTGGTAGTGAATGATTGCAGCTTGTTTGTTTTCTCTTCAAGGGTGAGAACAACAAGATTTTTCTTATAGTATACTTTGGTGCCCAATTGTTTTCCTGAATGGAGAAAACTTATCATTTCATCTTTTGAGGAGTCGTCCAGGGCACTTTGCTTTCTATGACGGGGCAGCTGGGTGGCTCTGTAAGAACATGGGCGAAGGGGGAGACAAGAGCATTTCACTTGGGCTGAGTCGGGTTTCAACACTCCAACTGCATTCATGTGAGGCACATACTCTATTGACTGTTTTCTCCCCCTCAAACTGTATAAAATACAACCGGATAGCATGCAAAGGAACAATTTGGACTTAGATATTGTATGACCAAGCATGACGGCGTGTCCTGTTTCTACCTCATTTGTGACTTTCCTAGGTACGATGGTAGGTGACCATACCCGCTTGGAGTTCCACAATATCGAAACTGGCATCATGACCGAGAAGCGCTACATCTCTGCTGTCCCCTCCAGTTTCATTGGTCACCTGCAGAGCCTCATGTTCAACGGTCTGCTCTACATTGACCTGTGCAAAAATGGCGACATTGATTATTGTGAGCTCAAGGCTCGTTTCGGACTGAGAAACATCATCGCTGACCCCGTCACCTTCAAGACAAAGAGCAGTTACCTGAGCCTGGCTACCCTTCAGGCCTACACTTCCATGCACCTCTTCTTCCAGTTCAAGACCACGTCCGCGGATGGCTTCATTCTCTTCAACAGTGGTGACGGCAACGACTTCATTGCCGTTGAGCTGGTCAAGGGGTAAGTGGGAGGGATCACAAACTTCGTACGAGCTTCCTTAGCGAGAGCCCTGAACAACATGGGGGCATGGGGAAAACGTGTCCATTCTGTGCTCACTCTCCCTTCCTGCTACCGTCTTCACTGAGGGGAAGAGCCATATAAGGAGCTGGGCGAGAAGAGAGGGAAATGCATGTATTCAAAGATCTTGTATTCACTCAATACTATCAGTCTCTTTACGATGGAATGTAGTCCTTGAAGAGCTATTTTTGCAAAAGAGGAATGTGGAGGAGAAGGTGCTGTCTCTAGCTCTTGGGTGGTACTCTCTACAGTGATCAAAATTACAGCAAGAAATGCGATAGAGATGGTTTTTGCCTTGCCACTTGATCATACGCGCAACATTTACTAGCTGCCCCTTCGTCAAGGCAGTGGACTCTGCGTTGAGGCCACACGTGACTTCCTCAAGGTTCACAAGGGAGAAGGGAGACTGTCTTTGCTTGTCCAAGGTCTGTAGTCATGAGGCAGAGGTCAGCTATGCCTCCACCATCTATCCTTTTGCACCCTATTCTGGCAACGGCGTCTCCCAGCACTCTCCGCTTCTCCGCTGGGCTCAGTAATCCGGTGCAATGGCCACACAGAACTCCTAGACAATACACACAGTTATGGGGGTCTATGAAGTTCACAGGTTACCACAAGTCAGGATCAGTACATAGTAAGGATACCGTCTACAACAGAGGCTCTTCTCAGCCCGTAGCCAAGATGCTCTTTCTGATCCTCAGCCTCTCAGCCATGTGGCCCCTTGGCTTCTTGCCCATGGGCCAAGGACCCCTGCTATTCCAACTCATTGCCTCACAGTCTTGGGTCTCTAAGGCGCAGACCCTCTGCTCGGTCTCCGTGTGGCTTCCTTCCTCTGTCCGGGGTCCCTGTGCCTCTGGTGTTGGTCTCCGCCACCTCGGTCAGAGATCTCAGTACACTCTGCTGATGGCTCGGCTCCTCTGATGGCCCCGAATGTTCTCTCTCTGCTCTGAGATGGCTCTTTTCCACACAGAGGAATGGCTTGATGCGTGTGTCCTTTTGATCCGTCAGCAGACCAGAGCCCCAAGAAAGGCCAGGGTGGTGACATTGCTTGCCTCCTCTAGACAAGTGGATACACTGACTACATCCCACCTGAATCCTGTCCATTTGTTTGAGAGATAACTCCCTCCCAACTGGGATTATAACCACAGGCATAGAGGCTAGACTGAACAAGACATCAAAAAAGGGAATCTGGCTAGAAGGGCCCTATTAAGAAATTTCACTCCACCACACTCATGTATAAGGAAATGTGATTCACTGAGAAATGATTTTTAAAATATGCTTAACTGTGAAACATAATGTCTGCACCTAGTGTTTTATAGTGTACCCCCTGAACGACTTAAAGTATATGGATTTTTATTAGCTAATAGTATAGAAATGGGCTCTATAGTTATGGAATGAAAGAGAAGTGTAATAAAATAGGATTGTAACCCTAAATCAAGTGTGTGTTAGTCCTGCATGATGTCAGCTTGTCTTGGACATTTGAAGTCCTCCTGTTTAGCCCCATGTTTCCATTAAACCACTTCAGGGAATCACAAGTCATGCAATGGCCGTTGCCTTCCTAGGTACATACACTACGTGTTTGATCTCGGAAATGGCCCCAATGTGATCAAGGGCAACAGTGACCGGCCCCTGAATGACAACCAGTGGCACAACGTCGTCATCACCCGCGACAACAGTAACACCCACAGCCTCAAAGTGGACACCAAGGTGGTCACTCAGGTTATCAATGGTGCCAAAAATCTGGATTTGAAAGGTAAACCGTGTAACGATCTTATCCTTCCTAGAGCATTTCTTACAATCCAAAGGCTGTCTCCAGAGGCAACGACAGGTCAGGAGAGCTAGACATTTTTGAGACATCTTAAATGTCCTATTTTAATGATGTTGAGTTGTATGCTATCATATCTGATTCCTTTTTAAATTGGACCACTCTTCAAAGCATACTTTCTCTACAAACCTCTGGGCTGTCTAGCTGTGGGGGCTCTGAATGGTTAGGTGATAAATTATAGCCACTGCTGTGACATTGGTTCCTACTCCTAGTACCGCGTTGGACAGAGTAGAACTGCTTCCCAGACTGTAAACCTTTCCGGAAGCGGAGAGCTAATTCCTTTTCCTGCGGTGCAGTAGCCCTTGTGGTTCAGCTGGGTAAACATCAGACTGCTAACTGCGAGGTCAGCCGTCCAAACCCCCTTAGCAGCTACGCAGAACACGAGGCTGTCTTCTAGTAATGTTTGACAGCTTCAGAAGCCCTGACAGCTTCAGGGTCATGATGAGTTGGAGTGGACACAATGGCCGTGGGTAGGTGAATCATAGTGTGACGACAGTCACGACAGTTCAAGGGACACGGTGCTTGGAATCTCAGCTGAGACCCTCACTCCCAGGCTGGCTTGGGTAAATTCCGTAGCCTCGTCCAGATGTAGTGTACTAGTTTGCAAACTGGGAACAATCGTTGTTACTCCCTTCTGATGGGTTGTTGGGAGTTTCAGTGGAACTATGTCTGTGAAAACCTCAACAGATAATCAGTCAGAAGCATGCTAAAATGCTCAAGTGTTGTTGAAAATGTTAAATTTCACTTCACCATAAAAGTGGTTGGGTGGACCATGCCTTTGCATAGAATGAATAGGATGATTAAAAATGTGATCTGATGTTTGTACAGTGAAAGACTTGTACAATATTTCATTATCTATTTGTTTATAGTATAGAAACCTTGGTTCTTATTTAACTTATTACTTATATTTGGGTTTTTCTTTTGATCAGTTGCTCTACAGTACCCTAACAAATACCCTTTTAAAGTGCATTGCCTTTCATTGCTAAGGTCGCCTTTCATATACTTGACTCATTCTCTCTGGTTACTTCCTTTCCTTTGCAGGCGATCTCTACATGGCTGGCCTGGCGCAAGGCATGTACAGCAATCTTCCAAAGCTTGTGGCCTCCCGCGATGGCTTTCAAGGCTGTCTGGCATCCGTGGACTTGAACGGGCGCCTGCCAGACCTCATCAATGATGCCCTTCACCGGAGTGGACAGATCGAGCGTGGTTGTGAAGGTACAACCTTTTTCACACGTATGCTGCAGCCTTGTTGCAAGCACCAAGCCTCCTTGCTGCCTCTGCCAGTGCCTCCTCCCTTGGTTCCGCCAGCCCCCTTACATTCCCATTTGCCATACGAGATCATATTGCCATCAGCGTCCCCCGCCCCTGGTTGAGTATGTCAAGACATGTGCCACAGGCTCCAAGAATGTATGTTGGCAGATGTCTTCCCGGCGTCACATACTTGCTAATAAAGGACCTCTCCAGACGTTGTTATCAGGCTCCTCCCAACATGTGCCTTTGCTTCCAGAATAGCTAGGAGGACACCAGGGATTCACATTGGGAGCCGACTGGAAAATCAGAGACTTTTACATGAGTGTTACCATTCATAGTCTGTTTCTCATTTCTGCTGATAGACACTTTGGTACTCCATGCCAACCTAACAGGAGAGAGGGAAACAATTGTCAGAAGCGGCCGACATGAAACTGGTAGCACTTGTGGAGTACTGAGTAGATGTGGAGTGCCGCTAGGCAGTTCCTTCGTGGGTGCAGAGCGACAGTCTGGGTTTGGGAGGTAGAAAGCCCGCAGTTCAGGTCCTGGATGTAGCTCTTATGTACCATAGGCAATTCACCCAATTACCTAACCCTTCTGAGCTACATGTCTCTCGTTTCTAAAATGGGGTGGTGAAACTTATTTTGGAAGGAAATGTACATGAGTCAGAAATATATGGAAAATGTCAGGCACCTGGCACTACTGCTACTCCCTGCCATCGAGTAGTTGACAGCGCATAGTGACCCTGTAGGGTAAAGGAGAACTACCTGTGTGGGTTCCCAAGGCTGTGAGTCTTTCTGGGAGCTGAAAGCTTCATCTCTCTAGCTCAGAGGGCATGGTGGGTTCCAGCGGCTGACCCTGTGGCTGGGAGCCCACCTAGGAATTCACCATGCCACCAGGGTTCATACTAAGAAGTGGTCTTTTGTTGACAGATATTATCTCACATGAGACAACTCCTAATAATAACATTGTAAACCTACCCCAAAAGCACAGTAAAGTGTGGTTGGCCTGTCTTATTTCTTTAGATGTTCGATTGTCTCTTGAGATATTAGTAGATTGTACATGTTTTCTGGAAACTAGATCTTCCCAAGAAAAGCAATCTAGCTTTTACCACCAGAGGGCAGTGGTGAACATGCTCAACCTTCACCAGCAGCCTTCAAATTCCCTTCTGGGGCTGAAAAGTGACTCTTAGTGAACAGGAGCCAGAGTCGTGACTCTCGGCCAGTCCCTCGGGATCTCTGTATTCTTTTGTCTGGTTGAGCCTCGTGGTCCTTTGTTTGTGCAGCCAATTGTGCTTTCTTGTGTTCCTGGCTAATCTACCACATCAACCCCCTTCATTCATTCCCTCCTGTTTGTTCAACTTCATTTGCTCCAGTTCCTAACCAGCTCCCACCTTGGTTCGCTTACCACCTTAAAGCACATTTTATAAAACCTTCCCGTCAGCTTCCCAGGCTGATTTCTAGGTATGGAAGCTGTCCCTCTCTGACTTCTAGTTGGTTTCCTATGTTCTCCCAGCAGTGACCCTGCCCCTGTAAGCCACTCCATGGTTTCATATGTAGCTCTTAACTTCTGTTGGCCAAATATGGTGTGTGTGTTTGTGTGTGTGCATGTGTGTTTTTGTGTATGCATGCGTGTGTGTGTTTGTGTGTGCGTGCGAGTATGATTGTGAGTGTGTGTCCGCATGTGTGTTTGTGTGTGTGTTTGTGTGTGCATGCGTGTGTGCGTTTGTGTGTGCGTGCGAGTATTTGTGTGTGTGTGCATGTGTGTGTTTGTGTGTGTGCATGTGTGTTTTTGTGTGTGCATGTGTGTGTGCGCATGCAAGTATTTTTGTGTGTGTGTGTGCATGTGTGTGTGTGTGTGTGTGTATGCACATGTGTGTGCACATGCTCTCCAGGTGGTGGGTGGGGATTTTCATCAAGCACTCAAAAAGCCACCTGGATCTTCCTTCTTGAAATGTACACTTCAGTGTTTTTGTTGTTGCCCTGGCCTGATGTTAATTCTTCCAAGTACAGAAGCGAAGTCCCGGAATCGATGGACCACTTGGAATTAAATGCAGTGTCATAGTGTAGAATATTCTAGGATAACAATTCCAGTTATGCTGGGTTAACTAATAATATCAAGTTGCAATAACTAATGATATCAAGTTAGATTATGGTATAAAACATGTATCAAAAAAGAATCAGGCATGTTCAAACATGGAGTAGTATACTATTGATTCTTTCATTTTTTAAAAAAAATAGCAGCAATTGTCCACTTAACTTTCTAGCAATGTTATCCGGTAGAAATATACCCTGAGTCACACGGGTAATAAAAATTCGTCTAGTAGCCACATGTAATCAATATGGAACATTAAGGATAGGATGTTTTCCTTTTTATATTAGAGCCTGTGAAGCCAAGGGGTAGCTTAATACCTCCAGAACATTTCGATCTTTATGATGGCTATTTACAGTTCACATTAGCTACATGTGATGGTGACTAGGATATGAGAAACATAGCTCTATCGGACACAACAATGTCGTGTGAGGAAAACATAACACTTTAGTAGTGGATTGAAGGGAAGGCGATGCTCCCTGGTTTTTCTTAGAATGGCTCAAGATATAGTGTAAAAGTGAGAGGGGGGAGGCTCCTCCTGAAGAGAGCTTTAAGAGAAGCCCTGAGAGCACTCACACACGGAAATTACCCATCAAATTGGGGAAAATGTCCTCGTCCCTAACTCCAGCTCCAGCTGCACCTCGGTATGACTCATCACATGCATTACGGCGGGTTCCCACCTTCCTCTGAATGCGGATGATTGCTCAGTGCCGGATATTGGGACTTGATGGCCCCACTGTTCAAGTCTATGGCAAGTCCCCTGGGCCTAATAATGGTGCACTCTATTGCCATGGAGATAATGGTGATGGCTACCCATGGAGCATCATGACCGCCCCACTGGGGGGATGAAGTGGAGGGTGAGTGCAGAGGGAAGAAGGCCCGTGTTTATTGTACACAAAGGACTTGGCTCATTAGCCTAAGTGACCAGGAAAAATGGTCCAAAAGTAGGATAAGGCATAAATTACTGTCCTCGGAAGTTTGCACCATTGTGAATCAGTCCTTGTAAGAGATCCTTGGGGGGTTTTAAGGGTCCATGGAGATGACTGTGGAGGTGATGGTGGCGAGGACAAGCAGGGACACAAACTGGAGAAGCTGCAGAAAGATGCTGTTGGCATTGGGGAGCTTTCATACATATGGAACCTAGCGTGTGCCCTGCTCCCCCCGCCCCCCCCCCAATAGGCTGCTGAGTATCAGACTTTGTAAGAGCCATTGGAAATGGACCACCTTTCTTGTGCCATCATTCCTTTGTATAGAATAGGAATGCTGGTGGCACAGTGGCTAAGGCACTCAGCTGCCAACCTAAGGCCAGTGATTCTATCCTACCTGCCACAACATATGAGAAAGATGTGGCGGTCGTTTCCCAACAGATTGACAGTCTAGGACATCCTGCAGGTCAGTTCTACCCAGGTCTCCATGGGTAGCAACTGACCCAACAGCAGTGGGCTTATGTGTGTGTTGGGGGGTTGTTGATATTATAGCAGAATATACAGGCAGGGGGTATATTTTCATTACTAAGAATGGAGCCTTGGATCCCTTTCAAGATGGTGAATGTGCTCTATTCTCACATAATATTGGGAGAACATGAGCCAGAATATCCCACATGTCCTTGTTGATACCTTTGATGATGACACTTCAAGGTCCTAAAGTGGGAAATGTATCATTTTCCTATTTTCCTTATTATATCTGACCCATAACATCAGATCAAAGAAAAACCACAAGAATAAAAACAAATGTAAACATATTAATTCACTTGGCTTTCAATTATTTTTAGTAAAAATGGAAAAAAAATCTCAAATTAGGTTTTGATTTTATGTCTCTAATATATGCCGAGTGTAATTTATTAATGAAGTGGGATCTGGAGGCAACCCCTAGCCAACAGCTAACTATGACTTCTGGGCCCTACATTTTGAGTAGGGGTGTCTAAATTAAAGCCTGATATAATACTTGACTGGTAGTATTTCTTCCTATTTTGAGATCAGCTTTTTATGAAGAGATGGAGACGTGAATTGGCTAGCAAGGCTATTCCACCATTCCAGATGGTCAACATCTGAGAGAAACGCGTGCTTCATTTTGAGGCTAGAGTGAATAAGTATAAAGGGCATTGGCTTAGAGCCTGTTTGCCCACATTCCTTTTGGTTTGGCTATCTCTTTACAAATAAACAAAATGAGCTCTTTAGTGTTTCCAAATCATCTCAGTACAATTTCCTGGTTCAACCACTACATTCCTTGGTGGCATTTGCAGTAAGACACAAGGAATGTTCCCAATTGACTCTTCCATTTTCACTGCCTCAAATGTTCAGAGTGATTATCGTGGGCTCTGCCTGATTCTGCACATGTGTCTTGCAGTCTGGCCGTGCACTCTCCTTACTCCTTGATGTTTATCCCGACTGACGGAAAATCATCTCTGGACCTCATGCCTTGGGGTTGGCTGTGTGAACGTGGGAAGGCTCTTGTTATACCCATTGCTTGTGCTTCTGTCAAGCCCAAGATTCCCCCAGCTCTGCTCTGCTGACTTGGCTTCCAGGAGGCCCGCTGTGCGCTGGTCTGTGTGTCACTGTCTGTGCTGTCTCTGGTGAACCTGTGGAGCATCTTGATCGTCTGTCTGGGTCATGTTGGTTATGCCAATTGCATAATGTTATCCTGGTTTACTCTGCCTCTTACTAACCTCTGGTTATTGTTTTCGCTTTTCCTGTTCTTTTGCTAACAAAGTTGCATTGACCAAAGCTGACCTGCAAGGTAGAGAAGGTTCTTGTTCCCATTACCACTTTGGACTGAAAGATGCCCTGTGTAACCCTTGATATCTCTTCTTTAGTGGCCTTCAAGCTGCCACACCTCTTAGACAGCAGCAACTGAGGGGAGGGGGCTGAACCCTTTGTTCTTCGGAAAGGGCAACAGAACGCCCAGGTGAACACATGACAAATAATGATAAAGTCGTGGGACTGGAAAACTGATTCCATGGGAGGAGGGTGGGGGACACCAAAGAGGTTTGACAGCAGCTTAGCTTGTGACTATCCATAAACACCTGAATCCGCATGGGGAAAGGGTTCATGCTTCTCCAAGTATTTGCCATTGCTTGAGTGTGTTTGCTATAGATAGAAGACAGCCTATACTTAGGTGGGGAAACAAAGCTACTTGATTTCTTAGTTTAATAAGGTGATTCAACAGAGCAGGACATTTAATTCTTAGGCTTACAAAAGAGGATACTATATTCTCTTAACTCATTATAGAGAAATACAAGGGATCCCCCCACCCCCCAAAAAAATCTCCACTGGATAGAGCATTCGTAGTATGCATTTTTCATGCTAGGAGAGCATAGAGCAACTAGCTCTAAGTTAGTGCACCCAGTGGCATCCCCTGGGAAAGTTCTCTCTGGTCACAGTAAATTTTTTCATAAAAGCAGTTTCACTCAAACCTCGTTTTTTGTGATGGGTAATTTAAGAGAGTAGCATGCAACTCTGAAATTTTGTTTCCTGCTCGGGAAAAAAGCCCTATAAACTGTCATGATGTTGCCTAGAGCTTACAAGGTCAGCACTGTGGGAAACACTCAAGTGTATGAGTGGTTTTTACGTTTCAAAAAAGGAGAAATGTCGATTGATGACAAACCTCATTCTGGACGTCTGTCAACTGTCCAAACAGATGACAATGTCAACAAAATTTGTGCACTTGTGCTCAAAGACCGACGGCAGACCATTGAAGAGATGGGGAAGTATCTGGACTATCTCGGAGCTCAGTTCAGTGAATTTTAATGGAAGATTTGGGAATGAGACGCGTCACTGCGAAATTTGTGCCTTGGGTTCTGACTGACCAGGAAAAAGAGCATCGAGTGGAAGCATGCTGTGCTTTGACGAAACAGTTCTGAAGCAACCCAGACTTTTTTCCAATGTCATTACTGGTGATGAGACATGGTGCTTTTCTTAAGGCCCCAAAAAGCAAACATCAATCAAGCCAATGGAAGATACCATCATCACCTTACCCCCCAAAATGATATCAAAGGTCAAGATGATGCTCATTTATGTTTTTGATGTGAAGGGGATAGTGCAGTTGGAATTCATTCCACCAGGTCAGACTGTTAATCAAGCTTTCTGTTTCAAGGTTCTGAAAAGATTCCATAACCATGTGTGACCCAACAAGGCCCGATTTGTGGCAGACAGGGGATTGGTTTTGCCATCACCACACTGCACCTGCAGCCATCTCAGTACGCCAGTTTTTGTCAAAAGACAGCATGCTTCTCTTGCACCTCTCACCCTACCCACCTGGCCTCACTCTGTTTCCACAAATGAAGAGGGACATGAAAGGACAGTGGTTTGACAACATAGAAGAGGTGAAAACAAACAAACAAACAAACAAGGGAGGTGCTGTCTTCTACCAAACAGATGAGTTTGAAAAATGTTTCCAAGAATGGAATCGCAGATTTGACAAATTTATTAAGTGTAATGGAGAGTGTTTTGAAGGTGATAGGTTGTTTTGTAAAACAAATTTATACGGCTTTGAAAAAAATCCATTTTTTTTAGGTACCCCCTCGTACACCTTAGAGATATGGGAGGCTGAGCATCATTAAAGTGTATCAGAGAGCTATGTTCTAGATCAGAGGTGTGGGTCAGCACCTTAATGGCCTATTTTGTGATCTCAAAGAAAAAGGATGCTGGGAGAAGAGAATCTGCCAGATTGATCTGAACACCCTGTCACACACCTGCGTGCTGTCAGAAACCACCGCTCCTTCCATTCAAAGAGGTGCCTGCCAAAGTGAGCAGTGGCTGCAGCTGCTTTCCTGTTGGGCCTCTTTGACTGGAATCACTTGGGAGGAATAGGCATGCTTCCATTCTCTAAGATATCCACTTTTTCTGGAGGGAGAGGGGCTTACTTTTCTTTCTTGATGCTATTTGACTGAGAGTCAAACAGCAACTGAGTCTCAGACTGTCACTGTAGAATTCACAGTCAGAAAAATGGGTTAGGATTGGTTAAAACAAAGGTCGAGTTCAATTAGGAAAAAATAATTCACTTTGCTTTTGTGGCTCATTATGGCATACGTGTGCCAGGTAGGCAACTTGTCCAAGTGCCTGTGTCCCAACTAATAAAGTGTCTAGCGAGCCACTCCCCCACAAACTCTCTTCCTTCATCTCCTCTTAGCAGATTCACATAGATCTTGCTATCCAAAAAAATTAATGAAAATAAAAGCAGCATTCATGCTTTGAAGTCCTTGGAGGCTGTAAAATAGACGGTCACTTTTACAAAGCATGGGGCCATTTCAGTAATAGTTCTTGTTTCTTTTATTTGGGGGATATTATATTCAAGTGTGAAGACCCATTATGCTGATGACATATTATTCTTAAATCACGGGTGCGAGGATGAAGGACACCCTCTACATCCAAGGCAATTGCTGGGTGTCCGAGCTCCTCTGCCAGATTTAGTCCTCACAAGCACACACCTCCATCTCCTCTGAGCCTTTGTCCCTCTTCGTGGAAAGAACTATGTGGCTTCTGAATCCCCAGAACCCCACACAGTGCCTCCCACATACTTGACATTCACATGTTTGGTAAAAATGACCTTGCAGTTCCTACCAACAGATTGGAGGGGGAATTCATTTGTAGGAATCATCCAAAGACCTGACTGGCCTCTGTGCCTACTAGGAATTGTTTTCCAAAGTGTAGGTACAGAAGTGAGGCACAATGATTTGGAATATCTTTCAGAAGCAACCCCAGTCAACAGTGTCTTAAGGCATTGATTTCAACCCTCTTCCATTCTTGGAATGACTCGATGTTCCCTTTGTTTGTGGCAGGAGTTGTTATTCTTGTTAATTATTCTGGGGCACCTTAATTCTCCTTGTGTTATAGCAAAAGGGCTCTAGGATGCAAATGCCTTTCAGTATTATTTTCCTGACATCGTGGGTTGAACCATTACGCATGAGTTGGCCTTTTCAGCTACGACCAGTGGGCACAGATAGTACTAATTGCTATTAAGTGTGAAGGGCAGTTGAGAGCATATGACAGAGAAATGAAGCAGTCTGAAAGTAAAGGGCAAAGGTGGTCAAAAGAAAGCAGAATGATGAGGGATAGGGAGCAGCATAATGAGTCTACAAGCTGACTTAGGAAACAGCCTGCTTCTTCTGTGTTTGGGTGATTTGGTTTGTGTTTGTTTGTTTCTAGCTTCCCCAGGGACTGCATTGTCTAATTTGGAAGAAGTGGGGTGTCCATGATTGTTTTGTAGCAAGTCCCCAGCTAGGGTCTGGATGAGGGGCAGCCTCTGACGATAAGGAACTCATGGGAAATTAGCCAACCAATCATAACGCAGAATGAAAACTTCTCTGCTATGCAGGAGTCTGAGTGGTGCAATCGTCCAGATCTTAACTGTTGACCTAAAAGCTGGGGGTTCAAATCCATTCAGAAGCTTGTGGCAGAAGCCTGGCAATTTGCTTCTGGCTACAGGTCAAACGGATGGCAACTTCAGTGATGGCAAAGACAATCTCCAGCAGGAGGAATATGAGAGAAACCCGCTGGAAACAGACACGGCAGTGGTGGATTTGATGAGCTGTCGAGTGTGAACTTGGACATCTGCTCTGTCAACCCCCATCTAATTCACAATCAAAAGCATCTGAAGAAGAAGGAGGCAAGATGACAGCGTCAAAAACCCAACAGGACACTTCTGCTTTGTCCGCTGCAGTCACTAGCAGTGGAAACTTGAGTCCACAACCTTCATGAGAAGGTGGGGTGATCACCATGGTGCCCCAAGGAGGAGAATGAACGGCAAGGATGGGAGCTGGAAGCAGAAGGTGGAGTCAGGAGATACCAGATTCAAAGACACAGGTGAACAATGGGAGCCTGATCTTCAGACTGGCCCAGGAGGTGGTGACTTTTCCCGCTCAGAAAGAAAAGGAACGCTTCCCCTAGTTTGCTGTCTCCTACATTCGAAAGGTATCAAGGAAGAACATCACTGACTGGCTTTGTCTCCGCCCCGCTCTGTACACCTCTGTCTCCAGGTAGGGAGACAAGAGACGCTCTCAGTGGCCCTGCTTTCAGGGACTTGAGGACTTTTGACAGCCGAGTTGCAGTCTTTGCCTCAAGTTCCTTCAGGGAGAATGACAATGTGTACATTCCTTTCACAAGTAACTTTTCAATTCGTTTTTGACTGCAAGAGAAGCCGTCGTGGTGAGGAGAAGCTTCTTCTAGCGCTTGGCCAGAGAAGAAAGGCGCTGGATAAATGGAGGGGCTGCAGAAGTGTCAACAATTATTGTTTGTCCTGCTGGGAGTGAGACAGACTAGTCATGAGCTCTGAGGAAGAAAGGAAGAGCCCCTCCTTGGGCTGGGTGATTAATTAGGATGTTTCCCCACCATTTCCATTATAACGTATTTGAACAGGTCTTATTTCCGGAGATGACTGGATTCTGTTCTAGAAATGCTAAGTTGTCTCTCTGCCCAAATGGTGAGCCAAGAGGGGGCACCAAAGACTGGTTAGATATGGACACGAAGTGCTGCCTATTTTGGTAAACACCAAAACAAACAAACAAACAAAAACCAATCAATCAAGTGGGCTTTGAGGCTTGTAAACATAAAGATGCTTTCAAAGCATTTCAGAGGAGAGTTGGCCTCAGCCAATCTCCAACTTTCTTTAATAATTAAATGGATCCTCCAGTTTATGATGAATATATTTCTCTCCCTCATGTTCCCCAAAGCTTTTCTTTTGTTGTAACACATTTTGGAATGTATAGTCCAGGTTCTGATAGAAATTAGCTCTTCACAAAG